AGAACACTGTGTCAATGCTTTGTGTAGAACAAGGTCCATGAGGAAAAACAGACGTATCAGAGACACTGATGGTCTTAAACAATTGCAACTGGTTATCTCTGAACAATGTGCTTGAAATATATACAGTGTTATTCATTACCACACAGGAGGAAAATATTTTTGCATTGTTTGATGGACTCATCAAGTTAAGTCTGGTAAATCCTGGTGGCATCCCATCATCACACTCCATCAGGATTACGATGTGTTGTGGGATACGGTAGAGATTGATCTGAGAGAGATCACATATCACCTTGTGGTCTGGAGGCCAGAACATCCAATCTTCATCTGAAGTAATTAATCTGAATCCCTCACCTTTACTCCCACTCGTCATTCTATCAAATCCCCTCAAGATGTTCACAGGTCTTTTCAACACCTCCTCAGTGTCCATAACTTCTCTTCTGATCCTCACTTCTGTAGGACTCCCTACTTCACGACACAGTCCTATATAGACAAAGTCTGACAGGCACATATCTAAAACATAAAGAAATACACATTATTTCCTTTGTTTTCATATGAATTATCAAATACTTTTCATGAGAATACTCAGCTATTGACAATACAATTATCTTTAAGGGTCTTTTGTGTTTGAAGAATTATTTCTAAGGACGAAATCAATAAAACGTTATCAGTATGTGAAATACCACTGAATGTACGTCCAAAGTCCTCAGAAGATGGAAAAATGTACTTAAAAGCTTTTTTTAAAGATGTAGAAAATATTGGTCAAAGTTAGTAAATATAATATATGTTAAAGCCTAATTACGTATCAGAAATAAAATTCAGGAACAATAAGCTTCTAATAGCCGTAACAAATATAAAGTATCTCAGCGTCCCTTTCCAAAGATATTCATACCGCATGAATACAGTTAAAAAAGAGATAGATAAGATTTACATTCAATATCCTTAATTTAATATGAAAGGGTAATTGTGTATAATGTTCATCCAGACATGAATCTTTAAAAAAAATGATCGCACTTATTTTGTTGTGATAATCTTTGACTTTTTATTTGAAAAGTGTGCTAAAGTGTACATGGAGTATTTAGTTTTTTAATAGTCGTTTTTCAATTATCAAAATAATTCATAATCCTATAATGAACTACAGATAATTCAATCATTAAACATTTTCTTCATAACGATAAATGACTAAGTAGTTTCCTTTGAGAATTCAATTGTAAAGAAAAGTAGTGGGTTTTTTTTCATCCCTGGCCTTGATGTCCCCACAGGTATATGTTCTATATAGCAAAGTTCTATGCATTTAAGAATCAGGATCGGAGTTTGAATATGTGATAATTGTCGAACGTGACGAGCTATGTATGGGTAGTCCAATGATAATGAAAGTAAATCTTAATTGTTCGTATTTTTTGTCCATCGCTAGTTTAAACATTTAAAGATATACACGCTATATAAACGCTGATTTTTATGTGAAACGAAATGATTAAATGATTTGGAACACATGGAGTGTAATTAATATTTTCCCCAAAATTTTATTAAAAGGTCGTTGTAATACCAAACAATTAAGCAATATCTGCAATTAAGAATCCAGTTTTTTGATAAATATTGATATATTTATGAAAGAAGTGCGTGATCCGTATATAGATACGCATGTCAGCGGGGAATCTTTGACAAGAGGATGTGACAACAATTATTATTAATAAAAGGTTTATGTGTGTCAGTCCAGAAAAGATGATTGATACCGATTAAGAGTAAGACATTTGTCATCCATGTCAAAAGTTAGGTGTATTCCAAACGGCCTATCTCGTTTTCTTGACGCCTGTTTGTTTATCAATCTAAAAGTAGCGATGGCGGAAAGTGAAGAATTTATCTGAAATGAAGCATTACTTTCTGTGCAGGATATTATAATTCTGATCTGTCATCTTTACATCATATTCAATTTTAATGGTGTCATTTACTGCATTTTGGTATTTTTATTGGTAAACAAAATTTATTTTCAACCGTTTTTAAACTGTTATAGCTTGTATTATTTTAAGGAACTGGGTACGGTATGTATAACGAGGCGGCCCTGTCTCTAAATTTGATTGAAGTTTTTTACAAACATGCCCTCAATGTGTCCTTTCAAAATCAGTTTATTTTTTGGAATTATCTCATACCGTTTTTCCGCCAGAGGTTTGGGAAAATGGTGCATTTTCTTCAATGATTACAACTTTTGACGTGACGACGTCATCACGACGTTACTGATTTTAACGTTACGCAAAATGAAAACTGTAAATTCTCTTAACCGAGAACTATTTACTTAATCCTGCAAATATTCCAGTTAACCATTTTGAACTATCTTTCAATTCATCATATATCGTTGATAGTTTGAAATAGTTTAATTATTTTCAGAAATATATAATTTTTTGACAAACGATTGTACCAAACACGCTAATCTACGAAACTTTATTCATCCAGATGAAATGAGGTGAGTACTTAAAATATTGAACGTATAGTTTACGAAGTTGGCAATTTTTTTTTTTTGGCAATGAAAAAGCTATCAACAGAACTTCCCCCTTTCATTCCAACAAATGACGGCGCTATAAGTGTTGGGTCTTTTTTATGAACATATTAATTACTCCTTATTTCGGGGTTATATGTCTATAATATGCCTTTTTCAATTTTTCTTTGATTTTAGATTTTTTACCCTCGCTTGAAAAGTGGGAGGGTATATAGTGATGGGGGTGTTCGCCCGTCTATTACGCTTTGGGGGTACCTCTCTTTTATGTTTTGCCGTTAGAAAACCAAAACATGTGTCGGATCAAAAAGTAAAATAAAAGGTGCACAATGGAAATATGTTATTAAGATTTCTGTGAAAGTTTCATTGAATTTCATTCAGTGGCATAATAAGATATGCAGATAACATACGGGTACCCTTAAAGCGTAACAGACAGACAGACGGGTGGACATATCGATTACTATAACCCTCCTGATTTTCAAGCGGGAGGTAAAAAACACGAATTTCCGGGAAGGGATCCCAGAATTTAGTAGTAAAATGTAGTAGAACTGTCTAACAGGCATGATTTTCTCGACTTGTAGAATTTCAACATAATACTACATTGAAATGTAATGTGTATATTTTACATAGTTTATCCACCTCAGCTATAGAAGTCTGTGCGTTTTGTTTTCTAAGCAATGCGCAGTCACTTGCATTGATGTCGGCTGTAAACGATCGACCAACAGTCAAAGTTGAGAGATCAACAGAAAAAAGGAAAGGACTGTCTCTAGTTTGAAATTAAATTCTTGATATAAACTTGTTCATTGGTAGTCATAACTGTACATCTTGATAATCAGTACCCCCCCCCCCCACACACACACACTTCTATATATTTTTCTATTTAAATGAAGCTAAATACAAACAATCGAAATGCAGAATAACAAAACACTTAATCTAAAAATATCAAAACTTAGTTCAAGTCCCTTTTCTTATTTAACATTTTTATAAGCTACATATTGAGACACTTTTGCAGTTACAGGTATGCTATTAATATACGGAAACTAATGTTATTTTGTGTCGTGTGTGCACTGTCACTACGGCGTGCATTTTTTTTTTACAGAGCTAGGTTTATCGTTCCCGAATTACCTTTGAAAGCGAGATTAGTTTTCTAACAAAATAAGTTGTTTTTTTTCTTGAAAGTTGTTTTAATAAAAAATTATTTTAAAATATACCTCACGAACAGCTGACATGTATTACATCATTTACGTGACTTGACATCTACTGAGACAAAAACTGCTTAAACAGACATTTTTTATATTGATTGTGCTTTACAATACCTCCTAAATGTAAATGTTTATAGATATTTGATAGATTTCAGTGACAATTATAATTTCGATTCCAATCCTGTCGCACTTCCTTCGGAAACATTCACTTTCTGGGGTCTTCGCAATGTTTTACGTCATTTGTTCTTGTAGTATTAACGATAAAATACTTTTCATATTTTTTCGGAACGAATAATCATCACAGACGGAAGTTGACATCTTTAAAATTCTGATCTGATGTGTACCATTTTCTCTACGGTGATATGGACTGGACACCACTCCCCACCTTCCCAGTCCTGATGAATGTCATTTGTATCAATATTGATATCCTATGACATATTTAATGTATTATTTCATGGATAATTTGGTTGGAATTCTTTTAAATCCTAACAATATTTGTCTGATACATTCGTTTTAACACGGATAATTTTTAAAAAGTAATTTAATATCTTATAAATGACTTCATTAGTTTCTGAAAAAGTCCTAATCGAGCAAAATATATCGGTTGTATGCAGCGGAAGTTGAAAAGCATTTCTCTTGTCAAAAAATTATGCATGATTATGCTTGTTTTTATTTCTTAAATATACAGCGGATTCATATATATGTTAAAATTGCCTTCACTTGTCTGTGTAATGAAAAATTTTAATTGCTATTGGGAACTGTTAATCTATATTCAGACACAAATAAATATTTGATTTCATCATGTTTCTTTTTAAAATTGCGTAGAAATTGCCGAAAACACTCACAACTGTAGTAATACAAAAGTTTTCAAAATAATTTTATTCCATTATCTGAACTCGATCCTTATAGCTTACAGTTGTGGGACCAGGAATTTAATAACGAGAGAGGGGATTGTATTGAGGGCAGGGTGTCTGAAGCAGCGTTGAAGCCTCATGGGAGTTGGGAGCACAATCCTGGTAGGGTCCGGGGAACGAACATCTATCTGCTTTAATATCTGCCCCCCTTTGATTTAGAAAAACCAATCGTCACCTTGCAGGAATTTTAGAATACATTGCCATGGCGGTAAAAATATATTTTGGAATACCTCATACCATACGTGTAGATCTACTGATAAGTTTGTGTTTTACATGTTTAATGCTGGTAACAAAAAAAAAATAACTACATGTACATGCTTGTTTTACAAAATACAAGTAAATTTTTAAAAATCAAATGGCGGATTGGGAGGGGGGGTGGGGGTGGGGCGAGACGCAACGGCCCTGGATCCGCCTTTGAATTGCATGTTTAATTTAAACCTGTCTTGAAAACACTGATGTCAACATTCACCATGATGAATATATAATCTAAATCATATTTTAAAAAAAGCTGCATAATAATTTTCAATAAAACGTTAAAAAAATCTCTTCTTGAACATTAAGTCAATATCACATACGTCCAATATGAAGGAGACGCCCGTTTTAATAAGAGGTACATGTATGAATGTAAACTTATGTCGTTTGACTGTTTTCACTGTATATATTGATTGAAAATTTATAATATTATTATTTTATTATGGAAGACTGAAGAATTTGGTTATTCAACATATGCCGGCTCATTGTGACGTCATGTTTTTAATGTAATGCGTCATTGATTTCCATGCAATGTCCCTTGATAAATTTTACGAAGAAAAGTTTAGGTGGTTTTCATAACATTAAGATACAGATTTAAACAATAAATTTCTGTAAAAGTATAGATTAGATGATAACACATTCAGATTCAGACTTCAA